GGGGGGGGGGGGAGAGATTGTGGGTTAGTGAATGGGAAGACAAACGTGGGGTGCGAAACGAGAAGCAGTGGGAACAAGCGACGAAAGGGGAGTGGAGCGAGGAGCGATAAGCATGAGAGACAGAAAAAAAAATGAAACGATAGAATGAGTGACGGAAAAAAAAAAAGGAGCAATGGATTGAGACATGGAAAAGAATTGGAGCGATAGAATATAAGATGGAAAAGAAAAGAAGAGGACAGGCGGTGAGACAAGAGTAAACTGACTAGGGAATGAGAATGATCAGAAGAGCACCGGAATGGCGCAAGCGGCGGAACAAGTGACAGCGGTGGAAAAACCCATGTGACGAACAACTGCATCGTCCGAAACGGTGATCAACAGTGTCTGGTGTCTGGGAGAAAGGTAATGGATGCATATATGACCAAGGCCACAAAGGTCGAGCGAGTCTGATCGTCAGTCAATGGCGACGGGGTGGGGTTGTTCGTGACTTACTTTCACGGTGGGACAACGCCAAGGGGGAGAAACAAGAGATCGGGACGGTTCGAAAGTCCGACGGCATGAGGTCGGGGGTGGGACAACGTCGGACTGGGACCAGCCGGCCGTTGAAGAGATGGGATGGGTCGAGCATCTGGAATGTCAGCGATCATCTGACGCACGCCATACAAAATGAGGACAAGAAAGACGCAAGATTCAGGACAAGAGAGACGCACACCGACACAAGAGGTGGAAAGAGAAACGAACAAAGACGGGAAGATGTAGATGGAGAGAAGAACGAACGAAAATAGGGAGACGGACTTGGGGAGAGAAACGGACAAAGATTGAGGACAAGATGGAGAAAAACGGACAAAGATGGAAAGATGGAGATGAAGGAGACAGCTCACAGTTCGGTGATACTTGGATAAATTGTGGACGGCCGAAGGACGGCGTGTCGGAAGATGTAAAGTATACGAAGAATGTATACGAAGGAAGGACGACGTATGGAAGATGTAAAGTATACGAAGGATGTATACCGAGGACGTGCCGGAAGATGTGTATAGTCTGTAGTCTATAGTCTGACGGTCAGCTCAGCGTTGATCTTGGTCATCTTCCGTATCTTGTCGCGGGACGGGCGAGCGAAGAGAAGAGGGGCAAATTCACGCGAGACAGGGCAAAGTGATATGAGAAAGACGGGGCAAAGTGATGAGAGAGACGGGGCAAAGCGATACGAGGGAAAAGAGGATCAAAGTGAAAAACGAGAAAAGAGGATCAAAGTCACGAGAGAGAGACAAAGTGAGAAGAGAAATAAGAAAGACGCACTGTATGAAAATCTTTCGAACCAGCCCAGACCAGCGGGGGTATGGAGAGAGTGACGACAAGGCGAAGAGACAATATAGAGATAGAGAGAGAGAGAGAGAGAGAGGGTGACGACAGAGAAAAGAGAAGAGGAGCGAAGAAGAGAAGAGACAATATAGAGCGACGGCAGAGAGAAGAGAAGAGAAACGAGAGACGTCGAAGATTCCACCACGGCAGAATCGATCCAATGTCTCAAGCTGTGGTTGTGGGGATAGATTGTGAGTGTTGTGTGTCGTGAGTGTTGTGGACTGGAATGGGATGGGAATGGGACGGTCAGAGACTCCACCGCGGCAGAGTCGATCTGACGGAATGGGAGTGGATGAAGTTGAACGATAGGCCAAGATGGAGTGGAAGCAGGTCTAGTTGGGTCGGACCAGAGAAAGACAAGTTGAGTCGAGAGAAAAACAAGTAGAGAGGTATTGAAAAGAAAGCGCGGTGGAGAGAAAGAAAGAAAGAAAGGGGGCAAGATATATCGCGGGTCGTACGACCCCACCCAAGCTGAGTCATCGCAATACGTATCCCACCATCACAACAAGTTGGCGCGTTTCGCGTTGCCTTACCCCTGGCACGCGACGCTAGGGACCTAAAGGACGGGGCTAAAGGGTTTGATTGTGATTTTGATTTTCGACTTGATTCAGCCACTGGCACAGTTGTTCGGCTACTATCCGGATCACCCTCTCTTCCCGCGTCTCCCCCTCTCCCCTTCCCCTTCCACTTCGGTTGCCATTTCCACTTTCGTTTACGCTTGGGCTTTCATTTCGGTTTTCGTTTACGCTTGGGCTCCCATTTCGGTTACCATTTCCCCTTCCGTTTCCGTTGCCGCTTTTGTTTCCGAGCCCGACGCTAGGGTGCGGCTGAAGCTGTGCCCGGACCCGACCCTCGAACTGCTCCACTTCCAACTGCGCCACGCGGTTTTGTAACTCGGCGACGTGGCGTCGGAGGAAAAGCGTCTCCGCGGCCGTAGCCGTATCTGCAGCTGTCTCCGGGTCCGCATTTGTCTCCGTAGCCGTAGCCGTATCCAGGTGTGATGGTGGCGGTGGAGGTGGAGGAGGCGGTGGAGGCGGTGGTGATGGTGATGGTGGCCCTGGATGCGGTGGAGGCGGAGGCTTGGTGGTGTAGTTGAAGGAGGAGTGGGCTATCTTGAAGTCCGTCAGAGGCGGCGGTTCCCTTGAGATAGAAAGGTGAAGGTATCGGAATCGTCACCCAGATGTCAGTAGCGACGGCGGCGATCTACCTCTGG